CTGATGACTATAGTAATTATTTTAAGCTTTGCTTTTATCTAATATTCTTATATCATAAAATTTTATTAATTTCCTTAGTAAGTATTCATAATAATATTCACATATCAGAACTCTCAGCTTTTGTTATACGCTAATACTGCATAAAAGCCATGATATGTGCTCAGCAAAACTTTCTTCAAAATGATTTTAGAATTCATTTAACTGTAACTCAGATTTTTCAGAAATGTATCATGCATACAATCAATATAATTTGCTAAATTTCAAAATTCACCTTACACATGGGACATATAATGAAAAGATTGAACCTTTTTTTCATTAGAATAATGAAGTACAACTTTTTAGTAGTGATTAAGCGATTAATTGTTTTCTTTAATGCAACTTGTTTTAATGTTTTATTTTTTGGTGTAACTCTAAGGTAAACTCATTTTTTAATTAAAATTTAATTGTATTTCTATAACTAAAGTTAACATTAGTTAAGATTTACTGCATAAAAATATCTTCCCATGTTTATTTTTATTCAACATACATATAGCACGTACCAGTTGATTTATAGTTTTCCCCAAAAGCTATAGGCTACTGTAAATTGTATTATTAGAAAGTATTTATGTTTAAGATGCACTGGAGAAAAGTTCTGCATATAAGAAAATTGCTTAAGAAATTCCACACATGCATGATCACTAAAACATTATAACCAGAGTGGTGATATTAGTGATCGTTGCTGTGTGCATTACTGTTGCCTTACAACTTGTGGCCATTGGCTGGTTTGTTATCCTGCGGTGGCCCTCACACCCAGCCTTTGTGCCCTCGGTAGTATTATGCCACATGTATGACCTCTTTTCAACAAACTTTGCCTTACTAATTACACAGTACTGAAATTGTTGGAATATTTGCATGCAGCTCATGTATATGAAAGAAAAAATGCACTGTTTTCATGTTAGAGTTGAGCCTGTTCAGAGCATGTCACTGAGGTCGAGGGTGTGAGGCAGTGCCGAGGCAGCCCTGGGGTAGTATAATCCTCAAGTGTAGAGACAAGATCTGGGGATTAGCGCTTGTGTCCTTGACGTGGGTGTTACATTGACCTGACCTGACCTGACTTGACAGATCACCATCATGTGCGTAACTCTGTCAAGACTGCCTCCTTGTCCTCCTCACTCTCCTGGCACGCAGGTGAGTTGCTGGACTGCAGGAGGAGTCTTTCTGCACACCCTCCCACCAATAGGCCATTTCAGCCACAGCTCACTAGCCTCAGGAACGCACCCTGTCTTGTCGTCATGCCACTGTGTGTAGTCCCACTGTAGGAAGCCGCACCTACTGACTGCTGCTCATCATTCCCTCCCTCGTACCCACAAGGGCACACGTCTCTTACCA